GAACAAACAAACACATGGAAAACATATACACATACCTTCGTGGACCATCTTCCCCCTAACCTCTCTCTCAGAATTTTGGTGTTGATAGTTCTCGCCTGAGCCAGCCCCATTCCCTGCAGACACATGGCCTTTACCTATATCCAGTTCTCCCCCTAACTCCAACCGGTTACGTACAGCACCATCTCCTCCAAACGCACCCACTCCATCTACATGCCTGTGATGTACCCCGCCTGGGTATGTACTGCATCCTTCCACCCGGCTTGTGCTATTTTCCGAACCGAACTCGCTGCACCCAGTAGGTGTGGCTGCCTGCAGCTTGCCCTTCGCCGCGATACTTGTCAAGTACGAACTAGCCTCATAGTCTGGTTCAGGAAGTTCGGTACTTTCACCGGTGGGACTGTTGCCATCGTTGCCAGGCGGACCACCTAGGTTGTCAGCATGCCTACCTGTGCTTGTACTATTCACTGTGCTGCCGCTGCCATGCACATAACCTGTAGTGATACTACTACTGCAAATACTACTACTACGGGGATAATCTGGATTGAACCTCCTTTGGTCATCACCGCCTGTTCTGTCTGCAGTGGTGTTTGTGCTTGTACTAGAGTTAACCTCCGTCGTACTAACACCGTCTCTATAGTTCGTACTAGCACCACCAGTGCCATGTGCAGTTTTCGTATGCGTGCTATTATGATAGGTCCCACAACTACTACTACTACCAGGGAATACACCACTCGTACCGGAATTACCACAGGAGTGTGTATTATCCCCTCGATCCCCCAATTGTGGTACAATATCGAGTTTAGTCCGCTCTCTGAGCCGTTCCAGTTCTCTCTGCATCTCTAAGGGCAGTGCACGCACTACCTGTGAGTCCCACCGCGACGGACTAATATCGTCGGCAAACAGTGCATCCTCACGCAAACACTGAACACTTGGTACGGAACTTTGAACGGGTTGTACCGAGTTTTGAACGTTTTGAGCGGAACCAATGGCGTTTTGTACCGAATTTCGAACTTTTTCATGTGCGTATTGGGCACTATGTCGAGAAGCGGGTGGTACTAAGGTGGCACTTTTGGAGGCGGTATAGTCTTCATAAGTCGGAGATCCGTCCCTCTTTCGGTTCCGCAGCTGAATAGCAGGACCCTGCACCTGCGCCTGAATTTTAGGACTGATTTGTCCAATCCTCCCGACGGCAGAGCTACCCTCAGCGCGAACTGCCGTTCCAACAGGATTTGGTATCTTAAAGACAGACTCCCCCCTCACCGATAACGAAGAAGGCTTTCGAAGGTGCGGCACTTCATTCCGCTTTGTCCCGGTATACGATTCCGTATCACCAGAAACATGCCTCTGCTCCGATAGATATATAGTATCATCTCCAGTGACAGATGAAACGATTGGGGTTTCCGCACGGTCTGGCATATGTATGCCATTTCCCCGGTGTGCACTCTCCATGGCCACGTGTGTCGTATCATTATCCTTCGCAGACACTACATACGTATCTGACACCGGCTCTCTGAGCCCATCCAGCACGTCTCTGCGTGTGCACGGGTCCAGTTCCATGAACGTGCGAGGGTCAATACCATGCATTGCCAACACCTTCACATCCGCTTCCGTTATCTTGTCCTGAGGTGGTGTGGCGCTGTTGAGCGCTACAGGGGCTCTGATCTTGGGAGTTGAGGATACAGATTCCGCATTTCTAACTACAGGGTCTAAGGTATCCAGGCCAACGTGTTCATGCCCCTCGTAGCTGCCCGAAGTACTATACTGGTGCGATGCGTTCAGGCTCCCAGGGTTGGAGGTTACAGACTCCGCAACCCTATTCCCAATAGTATCCGTGTGCGATGGACCTCGCTGCCCAGTCACTCTATACACATCACGCACTTCATATTTCTCCCCTTCGCGTGCATCGTTTTCTGCACATGACTTCTCATCGTGCCTATCAGTGTCCGCACATCGCACACTCGGATTGGCTTCCGTATCATCTACGCGGTCCACTGACCTTGTTGCCAGCCTCTCACTCGTACCCTGATCCCAGTCCATCGCTTTGTTCGCTGTACTATCTATCGCAGCTCGGGGATCGACCCTACCAAACTCCGTGCTTGCACCAGTAGAGTTCTCAGCGTGATCATCCAAAGCACCCACACAACTCGCATTCGTACGTGCTTGTACACCATCACGCCCATGCATAGCACTGTATACACCAGTTGCTACAGTACGGCCTCTGTTATCCTCTAATGCCACAGCTACACCGTCTTCAACAGCTGCATTGGCTGAAGCTCGATTCTCGTCAATAACCGCATTTGTCACTACATCCACCCCTGCAACTGTTGGTATTAAGCCCTTTACAGGAGACTCAGTGGCAGTATCGGCAGCGTTCATGGTGCGCCCACTCGCTACACGTCCGTTTGTCCGAGAATGTGGCTCTGACTGTGGTGCATCTCCCGTGGGCTCCGACAAGGCCAGCTGTGCGCTTGTCGCATTCCCCACTGCCTTACGCATGAAGAATTGTTCCATGGTGCCCTTACCAACACTCACGCCGGCTTTCGTCCCAGCCACACTCCCTTCCTCACCCATTGGCACCAGCCGTGTGAGGGTAATACCAATACCCCGTACATCCGTGGGAGCCACTCCAATCTCCCTGAACAGTTGTGTGCACGTCCGCAACAAGGTGCTGTACTCGTCTGTGGTTCCACCCAGTTTCTGGGTCTGGTTGTGGTCGTAGCACGGGCCATGCCCCAGATACTTGTGCGCCGTGGCCTTCGCATCGACTGTCTCCTTGATCTTCAGCGTCACACTACCCGTGAATAAACACTCGGCCTTGAGCCTATCGCGGATGTTCTGCACCAGATTGCCCATAAACTCGTCCACGCCCCTCTGATCCGTAAACCGGACCCCCCAGCTGATCTCGGTAGCCAGCGTCTTGCGTGTTTTGCTTGCCGTCAGCTCCTCCCGGTCGATGCCGTGCGCCGCGTCTCGGAGCTTGCGTCCCAGGTTGGTACCGAACATCTCCTGCAGCACAGCAGTATCCAGGTGACGCATATCCTCTACCGTCAACACCCCGATGTTGTTCAGCTGCTTTCGCTTGCTCCAGCCCACCCCGGGGAGGTTCTCTACGGCCATCTCTCGCAATACCTCGGGTGTGACCCTGTCACTAAGATAGCACACGCCGTCTGGTTTGGCCTCGCGTGTAGCCAGGCGGGCCATGAGTTTGCTATTGCCGATTCCTACCGATGCACTGCAGCCTGAGTGTGTGAGAGTAGAGGACAGTAGCAATGGTATCAAGAAATGAATGTATATATGTATGTCTACCAGTACACATCAGCCTAGGTTTATGAGGAAACAAAGCCTTGGCGATAGTACA